TTCTTGCCAGCAAGTTAAGGGATTGTGGATTGGATAAATGGACGGTAAGATGGATGGAAAGATGGCTAGAAGGCCGGGCTCAGCGGGTAGTGATCAACGGCTCGATGTCAGGATGGTGGTCGGTTTCTAGCAGAGTGCCCCAAGGTTCGGTTCTAGGACCGGTTTTGTTCAATATCTTTATTAATGACCTGGATGAGGGGATGGATTGTACCCTCAGCAAATTTGTGGATGACACTAAGCTAGGGGGGGGGAGAGATACGCTTGAGGGCAGAGATAGGGTCCAGAGTGACTTAGACAAATTGGAGGATTGGGCTACAAGAAATCTGATGAGATTGAACAAGGACAAGTGCAGAGTCCTGCACTTGGGACGGAAGAATCCCAAGCATAGTTACAAGCTGGGGACCAACCAGTTAAGTAGTAGTTTTGCAGAAAAGGACCTGGGGGTTACAGTGGATGAGAAGCTGAATATGAGTCAACAGTATGCCTTTGTAGCCAAGAAGGCTAATGGCGTATTAGGTTGCATTAAGACGAGCATTGCCAGCAGATCCAGAGATGTCATTATTCCCCTTTATTCAGCTCTGGTGAGGCCACATCTGGAGTATTGTGTCCAGTTCTGGGCCCCCCACTGCAGAAAGGATGTGGATGCATTGGAGTATGTCCAATGGAGGGCAACCAAAATGATTAGTGGGCTGGAGCATATGACCTACAGCAGTAGTCTCCAACCTTTTTACACCCAAGATCACTTTTTAAATCTCAGAACAGGCGAAGATCTACAGCCCTGCCCCTTCCTTGAAGCCCCACCCCTTCCTTGAAGCCCTGCCCTCTCTATTCTCCTCCTGTCCATCACTTGCTAACCCCAGCCCTTACACACACACACTGATAAAGTTTATTTTTAAATTATGCGATATATAAAATTAAAATAACGTGTTTGTAGTTAATAAATGGTCTGTTTTTTAATCATGCTATTTAAATCTAAAACGAAGCATTTATAATTATACATTTTGTGGGGACAGAGTTCTGCGGCTCCAACTTATCTAGCTCTCCCTTATTTTTCACCCTCATTTGGAGGCTAGCAGAGGAACAGATCCTGAAGCCAATCTTTTCGAAACCTTTTCACCAAAACCTTTTCTGGGGACTTGCTGCTGTTTGCTTTTTTCCTGAGCAACTTGAACCACTAGAAAGATGGGAGTAGGTGCTGGAAAAAGTACTCTCATCCCTTGGAAGTGAACAAGTATTTTTTGTCTACTTTCCCAGGTAGTTGGAAGGGTGGTGGGAGTTTCTAGATCACCCTGACAAAGAGGATCCCTTTAATATACACTATGATTCTGTCCATCATTGCTATGTGGAAAATATCCAACACTCCTGAATAATATTAGCAGGAA